ATTTTGGTGCTCTAAAATTTCTGTGTAATACCATTGCAGTGAAGCTTCTAATATATTTCTAGATGCAATTCAAAATGCTGGTTATCCCCTTTAAAGTTCTGCATGGCACAAGGCCAGATTACTTGTGATAGCATGATTTTGTGCTTGGTAAAATTTGGTATGATCCTGGGCATAGGGCAGGGTATGGTTTTAGCATCATTATGTCATAATGAGATATACAGAGGTTTAAAATCAAAAAAGACCTTTCATTCATGTCCCTTCTAGCCAAGCTAGTCCTATCGAAGAGGCACAATATGTTAATTGTGGGCCGCAGACCACATGGGTCTGTGGCCCAAAGCTGCAGTCCGCAGAACCAGAAAGGTTAGGGACTGCTGGCCTAATGGGATTCAAAGTGATCAGGCATTAGAGCTTAAAGATTCAGTGCCAAGTCACATGGACTGGAGTGAGATGAGTCTGTGACTTTGAGGAAGAAGAACACCTGAGAATGGTCAGATAAAGATGTCCCTCATCTACCTAGAAGGACTGAGTACCAAACTGTTATCTATGTAATCTATTAGCTGCTAGAATTCTATTCAAGCCCACCGAAAAGAATCCCAATAGTTTTAGATCCCTTGATGCTGGTGCCACAATTATCTTTTTTTTTTCACATATTCAAAAGCACACCAAATCATGATAAAAATCAGTTATATTTGGTCTCCAAAAGGCCAAGGTTTTCACTTCTAGGCGCAAATGTTCCCATTCAGTTTCTAAGTTATAACTTAGAGTCAGAACTCAAAAAATTCTTGTTCAAGTTCTAGGCTGGAACTTGTAAACTTGCAACCTTATCTGACTCCAGTGAAGAATTGGACCTTAAGAGATGATGTTGGCTATTTACAGGAGGTCCTCACCATGTTTATCAGGGCAAAGAGCAATGGGATGCTAGGGCAGAATGGAGTGATTAAAATTATCCATAGCTTGAATATCTTTGTTACTGTTTGGATAGCACTGACATCAAAGGGAGTATATAGAGCCAGCTATGGTGCCACCAGGGCCTAATTTGTCTTTGTTCTGTGGTCTTGAAAAGAATCATCTGAGTTGGTGGTTACCTGCTCTTGCAAATAGGTTGATCAAAGGGAAATCTCCACTTTTTTGTAGTTATAACTGGACCCATTTGTCCTGAAATATTTTGCTATTATCTGATATTCAGTGATCCCTTTATGTACCCTGTTGATATGAATAAGCATACATCCACTTGTCATTGATTCTTTGGCTTTTTGTAAAGATTCCTTGATCTGGTTCCACCCAGATTGTTTAGATAAACACTGTTAATTGTTTTATGTATTTGCACCAATATTTGCTACAACTAACTTGATATAAAAGGGCTTTCACGGCCTATATTATCCTCAACTTTGGCTGTTCATAAACAGTGACAGTTTGATGGGATTATAATTCCTGGATCATGTTTGACTGGCTCTCTGGCCAGATTGGCTGATATTAGCCATTAATGCAACAACTGATCTGCTTTACTTGACATCTTATGAGGTAGGCTCCTCTGTGGAATGGCCTGAATAGAACCAAGCTCATGGCATTGAATCCAGAGCTGCAACTCTTATCTTGCCAGTGTCATGGGGATTGGCCTCCCGGATATTAAGGCGTTCATCACCAGATGTACACAAGAGGAATAGTTTCTCTCATGTTGACAGTAATTCGCTGTAGCAGAACATATTTCAAGGGTATGAGTGTGCTCTTGATGAAATTAATTATGAAACTCCATTCCTGTAGGCATCGAAGTGGCAGTATTTGCTGTTCTTTCCATATAAGGAGATCTAATGAGATCACCCAGATGAATACATGTAAAAAATATGAATTCTGATGTGTTGCAAGAGTTTTCATAAATGCAGTACTGCACTCTGGGATTGAAAGGTCCAAATGGGAACATTTTAAACCAGAACTGGTTCTTCACTCAAAAATATGAAAAACTTCCAATAGGAAGAACTATTTAAGATGTTTAACTATTTAAAGCTGACAGATCCATGGCTGAAAAAGTCATCTCATGTTGATTTCAACCAATGTCTCAATTCTAAAACATTGGGACATGTTCAGATTCCAAGATTCAGGAGGCTTTCTCGGGTTTTTTCACTGTAAATGAGAGACATACTGGAAAAACTCTTATGTGCAGGGACATGCTGTATGGAGCAAACGTCCAATAAAGTGAGTTTTCTTCATTCTGAGCTGCTTCTCTTTCTTTCTGGAGATGAAGGAGAGGAATCTTTCTTTTCTTTTTCTAGCACATAGCCCAACTGAATACAGTAGTTTGTAAAAAAAAAAACCCATCTGTTTTTGCATGTGGTTTCCAGGTTTGCAACATTTTTGCAGTCTGCCTCCCCCCAACCGAATCATCATCTGAATGTTCACCTGACTGAAATCAATGAACAGGCCTCAGACATCTCACATACTTCTTTGCGGGAGATAATAATTGCTAATAGTATTTTCTTTTTTCTATTTTAAGTGCAATAAACATAGTAAAAAACCCCAAACCCCTAATATTGCTGAACACTGAAAAGCCCAAAGGTAAAGCACTTTTATATTTCCATTTGTCTTTCTGTCTCTGAAATATATCCTGTGTTCATTTTTTTCTGCATCTCTTTTATCCATGGCTATTAAGGTATTTCTTTCTTTATTTTTTACACAGGCACAAAAACAATTCTGAATAAGCAAAAGTTAGAGAAGAATAGGATTTCCTAGATGAGTTTTTTCCTCTGGAATGGTCTCTTTTCCCCTGAGCTGTTCCAGTATTTCCTATGTTTCAGCTCTAGGGACTTCCAATTAAAGTTCAGCTTGAGCTTCCATGTTCTATATGGGTGAATTAGAGCCAGCAGGAGCCTATTTTTTCTCAGGATCCTGAGTCATCATTGTTAGGCCTGCCTAGGCTAGCTCATAGCTCCATTCCTCAATATATACAGGCTAAGTCTCTTAGAGCAGAACATAACCAAAAAATGAGATGCTCACAAAATTAAAGTATGCGGTTTTATTAGAAAGAAAAGGAAATTAAGTTACAGCATCTAAGAAAATAGACATGTATAACTTGATCCTTATTATGTTGTAGTGGAGCCTATTGCCATCATTTTTTTCTGAGACTTAGTTTAATGATGCTAATTGCATATTTCATACTATAAAATGTTAATTTGTTTTTGTTCTGCAATATTTTGAAAGTATCCATTTTGATTTCCATGCTCAAAGAATTTCACCACAGTCTAAAGTAGTGTTCCCAGTTCCATTAACATTCTAACAATAGAGCGAAGGGGGATCGCCAAGATTTTTTAAGCTTCTGTAATAGTCATTGGAAAATTGCCATTGTTGGTACTGTCTAGACCTGGTCTGGCTTTTGGAGTGGCACTGCTCTTAGTGTCACCTGGTGTTTGTTCAGGCCCCTGGAAGGTAACTGCATCTGACATCACTTGGAGCCTAGTCCATCAGAACAGAAAGGCTGCCAGAGGGGCACAAAAAAATAATTTGGCTGTATTATAGAAGGCTCAGAGCCAGCCCTGCCACTTGCCTCCTTTTCTCTGATCCAATCTTCCATTATTCCCCATTTCTACTTGAGGAGGCTGATGGTCTCCAATTCTGAGCTATCAAGTAGTCTCTCCATTATAGCCTGTTTTCTATGCACTGATCATTTTGCTTGCTTGTTGGCAGCCCATAAGATGGAACCAAGAGAAATAATGCTGCTTCTTCTATTGGTAATATGCAGAGCTCAAGATTGAAAGGAGGAGTTTCCTCCTTGGGACAAGAAGTCTCTCTCTCTCATAGATAGATAGATAGATAGATAGATAGATAGATAGATAGATAGATAGAGTATAAAGTATAAAGGAGTACTTTCTAATATTCTTCACCTTGTCCTGAAATTACGTATTACTCTTCTTTCTATAATCTCTCCTATCTAATCATCAAAACTATAAGTCACAATTTCATTTTTGTGCAAAACGTCCATAAGAGCTTCTAGTCAGCAATCAATGTAAATGTCTTTTCTATAATTGTTAACTTATCCATTTCAGCAAAGTGTGTCGACCTCACCAACCATTCCTCCAAACTGGGACAAAAAATCTTAAGTATTCTGCTTTCTAGGTAGAAAAAATCTTAAGTATTCTGTTTTCCTGTCCGTTTACTATTAACCATATGATAGATGCCTGAGAAGATTGTTTAATTTCCTATACTTGTGCTACTACCAGTTTGATAGAATATCTTTTGTAGTGAATTTTCAAATATGAATTTTTGTATCTTCATGTTCTAAGACAGGACATGATTTTGATGAAATTATAGTATCAGCTAGAATATCCAGTTCTCTACCTCCATAATTCCAGATGCTTTTTCCCAATTTCATATTGTAATCTGCTAACTTCAAATACAATATAAGATAATCAGATGCTGTCTTGAATATGAAAGTATCACAAAATTATGTTAGGTTAAATTACAAATTCTCTTACAAGCAGATTTATCTAGTTGGCATGGTGAAGAAAGTAGCTATTTTTAACTTCAATAGACATGTTTTCAAATAGAGAGAATTAGACATTTTAAAAATCAGTGGGCAGAAATATGCAACCTTTTTCTTTGATTATGTAACTGGAGAATGCAGATTAGGAATCTTTCTTTAAATATTCCCATATCTGAATAAAAAATATAAAGAATCAGCTCCCCACTTCATGGCAATCATAATGGAAGCATAATCTTAAACAAGCAGCCTTCCTTTGTACTTTTTGAGTGTATAATCCCATGAAAGATTTTCACCAGTTTAAATTATCTAAGCAATAATGAAATTAAATGAATAGATTTATTTACATTCATATTTTGACTTTTGAAATTAGAAAAGCTGAAAAACAGTACCATACAAAAATGAAAGATTCATGTTATCAGTCCCTTTTCCATTTTTCTGGCTATTCTAGTAGTCTCTCCTGGAAATGTTTTAGTTTCTTCTAGAGCTAGGATGATACTACATCCTTCTTACCCTCACCTCTAGGGCTTACCATGGTCATCTGCTCCCTACTGGCCTCCCTGCGTATCTGCCTGGAACGACATCCACCTCTGGTCTCCTTCTTCTTCTGCCTCCTTTCATTGGCTGTTGCCTTTGTTGGTTTTGCTGTCTACATCCAGTCACACGATATTCATAATCCTGATGTCAAAGAGGTGAGCTAGAGATAAGAAATTTAAATAAAAACTTAGACCAGAACATGACATGAAATTGGATTTCAATTGTTAAGAGAAGACAGCAGAAAAAAACTTAGGAAGGATAAAGGAAAAACAGTAATGGAGACACTATTTTTCCCTTGCTGTTTTCTAGGTGTAGGTCGATTCTCTCTAATGAAGTTGTACTTTCCGACTGATTGGCTACAATCCTATTTCTCTATTATTGTCTTTCAGTTTATAGATAAATTACAATTTAAAAAATTAAAATAGATGTTTTTCTCCAAAAGTAAGGACCTTCAAAATTCAGATATTTTGTTGTACTACTTGAGGCAGAGAAAGTAAAAAAAAAAAAAAAATGCAAAAATTTAAATTCAAGTTTTAGCTGTTGCTATCTACAATTCAGAAATCCTCATTGTATTATGTACCTCTATTCTGAATAACAATTAACAAAGGATTTTAAAGGTGAAGTTATATGGAGTTGGATAGATATTTTAAGGGAAAAAGCAAAAAAAATGAGAATAGAAGCAACACTTATTCTGTTTTCCCTTATATCTAAGGATTGGGATTCTCTGCTGAAATCTCTTGCACATTTAATGTTCTGTATCACAAATAAAACTCAGGGAAATGTCGTATCACTTTCTTCAACTGCTGAACCTCCTACAACTGTATCTATCATGGTTGGCTTGACCTTTGATGTTCACAATGGCACAGATCTTCCCAATGATACACATTTAGGTCTGACCATCAGTGGGACAAAATTGGGTTTCAGAGGTGAGTGACCACCAAATCTATTTCAGTATTTTCTCAAGAATTCTGACTCCTTGCTCACCTTCTCTTGACATTTCCTTCCATTAACTCCATCCACAGGTCCAGATGCTCAGAAATCAATTCATCTCTTAGCTGTTATCACAAATTCATTATCCCGTGAGAATTGCCTTAGGATCACTGCACCTTCATCCTTTCTCCCCAAGACCAGGTGAGCTAACAAGAAGGGGCATTGTTACAAACAATGTTTCTTTACCCATTAATGTAATATTCCATTTTGTTCCCAGAAAGCCACCAAAATGTGTAATAGGGAAACAAAGCATGACTTTGGAAATGCCAAGGATTTGCTATCAATCACGTTATCAAACTAATCCTGCCCTATCCAGCATGCTAGATCAGGTAGGTAGGTAGATATGGGCAGTGGTTTTGTGGGCAATATCTGAACGCTAAAACTGGTTTGCTCCACAATATATGGATGGAAGATGATTCACTATCATTTCTTCTACTCTCAGGCGGACCGTGCCCTTTGCAGCCAGCGCCTCCTTATGACCAGTGCTTTCCTTCTCTGCCTCTGTGCCATGCTGTGTTGTGCAGCTGGCCTATATTATCGTCTCCCCAAAAACAAATGGGGCCAAATCTAAGTGGATCAAGCCAGTGCTATTCATTCTACATTCCAGAATACTCAGGTGTCCTCCTTTCTATAAACAGCTATACTATGTAAAATTCATTATTTTTGGTTGGTGCACTGCTATTTTGGCTCACAAAAGATATGATAAACGACTTATTAAATACAAAAAATTGTAATTTCTTCGTATTTTAACTGGCTATTCAACCAATACAAATTGCCTAATATATTTATTATATATTACAGGACTTGAGCTATATATCAAATAGTATAATTAACCTAAATTAATGTTCGTCACTAAAATTTCCACTATTAGGAATAATTATCTACATAATACTGGATTTCATGATTAAATATAAATTGCATCAAGCAATGTGCAAACAAGAAATCCTAATATTCCCTCAAAGTTTGGTTGTTTTCAGTAACTATATGGTAGTTTAACATCTAGAAGAAAGCCTCAATTAAATTGGAGAAAGGATAGGATTGCAAACCTGTACTTTCATTTATTTAAATTGTATTCATATTGCTTATTTCCAGTTTTAACGTAAACATAACATCCGGTACCAATATTGTTAATGTGTAATAAATATATAAGCAGGCAATGAATATAAAAATGAAAATCAGAGAACAATAATTGGAAACTTTAAACTTTTTCAGCATCTTTTTTAAAGGTGGAAATTAGTTTAGTGAATTTTCCACAAGGAGAAAACACCCGCTATGGTACTATACCAAGAAAGATCTATAGGCAGTCCTTGGATTAATTTACATTCATTCAGCAACTGTTCAAAATTACGGCACAGCTGAACAAATGACACTTACACCTGATCCCCAAAGTTACAAAGCCATTCCAGTACCTGTGCGATGATCAACATTTGGGAGCTTGGTAGCTGATTCACACAACAGCAGGGGCACTTCAATTCCTCCCACCATCTCTGTATTTTTGGCTGTCCTGCATAGCAGCACTCCTTAGCAGCATAACTGAGCTGGAGAAGCTGGGGCCTTCAGCAGGGTGCCATTGTCCTCGAGCCTCTACTTCAGCCCCAGTGCTGTTGAGAGGGACAGCTCAACCCTGTCCTGCAATCAGCCACCACAGCACAAAGCCTTCACTATCCTATACTCCACAGGCCTTACCACACCTACCCGATCTTAGCCGTCTTCCTCCAGCTGCTAACAAGACACGCCTGGTCTTATACAAGGCAACTACTAGTCACACCAAGACCCTCATGGCATTCAATTAGTATGTTCTGTTCCTATGATGTTTCAGAAGGCTTCAGTTTTCCAAAAGCTTTCCAAAGCACTGGAGAACAAGGTGCATTATTTGGAAAATAGCAGGCACACAGTTCTTACAAGGCCTCAGCTTTCCTTGGGAAGATGGCCTGGCACAGGCAACAGCTGCCTCACATGCTTGGGGCCCAGGTGTGATGACAGCCAGCTCTGCTTAAGACCCCAGATATCTACTTCAGTCCCAGTTGCAACTAGCACAGCCACTGAGGAATGCTGCTCTGCAGGTCAGTCAAAAGGGCAGAAGGGAGTGACTGGCTAGACTTTAAGACGAGGCAGTCCCTTACTTTACCAAGGTTCAGGGTCAGGAGAGACAAAGCCAGGAATTACTTGGATTGGGGAGTCTTCACCTAATGACAGATGAAATGTGATTAATGATGGCAACAGAGTGCTAAATTTGCCATCACTAAGTGATACAGTCTGATGATGTTTTACCTAACAACTGCATTGCTTAGCAATGGAAATTCCTCTCCAATTACTGCCATAATTCAGGAACTATCTGTATCTCAACTACTGCCAGCTTACCTTATCCAAGAACAGTACCCAAAGGAGACTCTTAACATACGAATAAAATATAAATATTTCTTTGCTACCCTTTCTATCAATACGATTTTTCCAAAAAGCACAAAGTTCCAGTTTTAGTGCATCTTCAAAGAATAGGTAAAATCATCCAGTGTAAATATTTGATATACCTGAGTAACTTCTTGCTTTCAATGAGATCAACAGGTAAAATACTTGTATACTAATTTATTACAGGTAGTCCTCAATTTATGACCATTCATTTAACAACCAAAGTTATGAGGTCCCAATTTGGGTCATTAAGTCAAGGGCCACCTGTACATAGATCATCCTTTATGTCTGAGTAGCTGCTTATACATAATCCAGTGATGTGTTTGACAGAATTAAGAACTTGCAGCAAAAAAACCTGACTACAGATAGTCCTTGAGTTATAACAGTTCATTAGTGACCATTTGAAGTTATAACTGCACTGAAAAAAGTGACTTTTGACAAATTTCACACTTACGATTATTGCAGCATCTCCAGGGTCATATGATTTTAAAACCTTCTGACTAGCAAAGTCAATGGGGAAGCCAGATTCACTTAATAACCATGTTACTAATTTAACAACTGAAGTGCTTCATTAACAAATGTGGCAAAAAAAATTGTAAAATGGGGCAAAATCTCACTCAACAAATTTTTCAGCAACATAAATGTTGGGCTCAATTATGGTTGTAAATTGAGGACTACCTGTATTCATTTTTAATTAATATGCTAAATCTAGCTACAACTGCACATGCTTACTGCTGCCCCATGAGCATTGCTGGAGTAATAGCAAAAATTGCAAAGGGTAAAAACTACACCTATCTAATCTACAGTATGAACATTGTACCTTAATTTTTCATGGTGTTGCAGTTTGTTTCCCATCTATGGTACCCAGCAATACTTTCCTTAGCTGTATGTTTCCCAGGCCCCCGTTTTAACGGAATAACAGAGTTGGAAGGGACTTTGTAGGCCATCTAATCCAATCACACACCCCCCAAGCAGGAGGCCCTACCTACACCATTTCTGACAGATGGCAGTCCAGTCTCTTCTTGAGAGCTCAATTGTCCATTGTTGCCTTTCTCAATTATTCTACCTAGTACTTCAAGCTGCAGTATACTTCCCTAATCGTTTTAAGCAATCTGCTGTAATTTTTTTAACTAAAGCTCTATAATTTGCTCTCCCCACCCTCCTCCCCCCGTTTCATGTCAGAACTTGCAGTCACTTTTGACCCACATTCTGGACTCCCTTGTTCCTTTAGCCTCTTTCCCTTCAAAGGCCACGTGTAAGATCTCGGGCACTCCCTCAACATGACCCAAGTGCAACTTAACCAAAGAACTCCTTTTCCTCACGGAAGGCGGGCTGGACGCGAAACCCTCGCAGTTAGCCCAGCCAATCCGGGTCAACGACGTCATCGGGATAAACAATCCCAGGTCGGCCGTTGCAGGCCGGCCTCGGCGGTGTTAGCTAGGCCAATTCATGTGATTCGGGGGGGCGGGAGGGGGGGAAAGGTGACGCGCTTCTTTCAAAACTGTGGTGGCTTTCCGTCATCTAACCCGATGTACGGTTGTTAGCGTGCTCTACCACCTTTTCGTCAGCTGCTTGGAATTTGATATTTTCGCCTCAAGACGAGCGAGTAGCCTAACTTCACCTCCCTCGTGTTGACAAGAAAGGAAGAGGCCCGTCCGGCACGGGCCTGAATCACGCCGGCCTCAAAGGCGTTAAAACTGCACATGAGGTGAGGGGAATAAGGGCGCTGAGAAGACTATAAGAGATTGCGATTCCCGTGACGGGGAGGCTCGAGCTCCGCCCTCTGCCCGAGAGTTCCAGGGCGCGCATGCACCCAAGCCCCCTGCAGTGACGGTTTAACTGTCGCCCAGCGCGCCCTTTATTTCCCCTCTTTGAACAGCTGTCATTGCTCGTCCCCCGCCAATTCTCTGCGCGCGCGCGCCAACCAACATCTTTCTAAATCTTGCCCCAGTAACTGCTGAGCGACGGAAGCTCCGCCCCTAACTACATCGGCCTACCAATCAAATCCCACGCCCTTCCATAGTGCCCCAATCAAAGTACACTTGAGGGCACGCGGGCATCCCAATCTGACTTCTTTCATTGCAGGGCCGTTATTTCCCCCCCTCCCCTCAGCCAACTAAGATGTCGATCTTGTATGCACTTGCCCTTCCTGATGTTTCTCGTCCAATCCCATTCTTAGGGCAAATTTCAAGATCCCTCCCCTCGCTTTACATATTGTCAGTGTAAACGTGTCCCCGCCCACTAACGCTAAGACAATCCAATGAAGCCGGGCCTTGTTCCTTTCCCTCTTTTACTGCGCGTGCGCTGCGCTCCATTCAGTAATGCCGTCCTACAATTGCTCAAGGCACGCTCCTCGCCCCATAGTTCGCGCTACTCACCTTTTTCTCAAGAATGACCCGAGCGGGACGCATGCGCACAGTTACCCCACCAAAACGTTTTACGCACCAGCCTGCTTTAGGTTCGGCACGATGTTCGCCGCTTATTCCCGGCTTTGGCGCATGCGAGTTTTCACGGGCTCCCGCCCCTGACGCATCGCGCCTGTGCGCTCTTCCTCGGCGCCCCCACCTTCCCTGTACGCATGCGCCTGACGTTTTCTCTGCCTTGGTTCCGGTCTTGCTCCTGCCTTGGGCGCCATCTTGGATTTGGGGACAACTGGAGTGAGAGAGAGGGAGGGAGCAGACGGAGGAACCCGAAGAGGCAAGAGAGAGGGGAGGGGGGGCCGGATAGAGTCAGGCCCCCCACCCCCACAGCACCCTCCCCTGTAGAGACTCCCTCCCTTTTCCCATTCTTCCATCCCCACCCCCCAATTCCCTGGCTCTGAAAGGATCTCTTTGCCTTTTATAGGGACCACTCCACCCCCGCCCACCTGACCTCTCATTCCTTTTTGTTCCCCCTCCCCCGCCCCGCCGGTTTCCCTTCGAGACCTCTTGTCAATCTCCTTTTGCAGGGTCCTGCAATTCTCCTCCTCGCCCGTTATCTGTGGGTCCCTTAGAACCTCATCTGTAAACATCTGTAGGCAGCCGCCAACAGCTGGAAGGGACTGCAGCATCCTATGAAGCCCATGCCCCCTTTCCCTCGCAGCCCATCCCTTGGTCTCTTGCAAAGCCAGCTACTGGGCTGATAGCGATTGTCTTCTTCCCCCACCCCCACCCTTCTAATTTGGGATTTTTCTCTCCCTCTCCCTACCCCTGAATTACAGCCATTGCAGAAGGGCCCTAGACTCTTGTTGCATCCTTTTACAGGGCTACCTCCATTGCGTTCCCGGTTCCCCAGCCCCTTGCATGTCTTCACTTCTGCAGGACAATTTTTTCCTACCCAAACAAGAGGGAGGGAAGGAGAGGTTCGGAGGGGGGCTGTTGTAGATACCCTATGCTTCCCACCCAGAGGCCTTCCTTTTCCAGGGGAACCACTGACAGTTCCCTCTAAACCCGCTTCCTTGATTGGAGGAAGTAGGAAAAGAGGGAGGTAGTTGGGGGTACTCTCCCCACCCCCATTGTCTTGGAGCTGGAGCCGCAAGGGGAAGAATATCTAGGCAGCTGCGGAGACTTACAGGTGAGACCCAAGCACGCAGATAAGGGGAGAGTGGGGGCGGGGAAGGGGAGAAGGGTATTTTTGTGGGATGGGAAGGCCGGGCAATGGGGAGAGAAGGAAATGTTTAGAGAACAAAGAGATTGTATTGCACCAGTTAAGGAAAACAATCTGCTTTTCTTTCTGTCTGCTCTTATCTTCCTTCTCCTATAATTGTCCTTCCAAATAAGTCAGAAATCGTATTGTCTCGGTTGGGAAACATATTCTGTTTCCTCTTCATGTTTTTTTTCCTCCTCTTTGAAGGCTTTGCCTAGGCAAGAGACGAATGAAGAGTTCTGTTTTCCAGAGCTTGAGGTCTGGGCCTAACATCTTCCTGCAGGGGGAAGAAGGATCCAGTTTTTCATCCCAGGTCCTCCATGTATAGTCAGCCCTCCCTTAAAATTCCCTCTCAGGTTTTCTTTCCTTTGGAACTCAGGATCAGGGAACCTAGGAAATTATCTGTCTAGTCTCTTAGACTTTTTCCTCCTTGGACTAGTCAGAGGCCTTAACTCTTGTACTGGTTTTAATGTATCAGAGGTATTATATGCCCTTAGATATTCCTATAATGACAGATTTTGGGAAGTTAGCATCAGTGAGGTATGTAACAATGAGGAGGACCTTTTTGGATCCCTTAAAAACCGTTAAATTTTGTTCTTTCTGAATGATGATGGTCATATTCATACTGCTATTTAAAGAAGTTAGCTTAATTATGAAGAGAAGTCGGGCTTAATGTATAAATTTACCATTCCCAGTCCCTAATTATTTAGCAGATAGAAGTGTATTAATAATACTATAATATTTATAAAAGAAAACCAGGTCCATGGGCACAGAAATCCAACTTCACATTCATTCATATACTCATTACTTAGCTTTCGTTGGTTTCCATTTTAATGTTTAAAAATTGTTTAATGTTTAATTCTGACTTTCATATATGAAGCATTAGAGCAATAAAATGCTGTTTAGAGGTAGTATTTGTGTGTAACAGGATATGAAAAAGCAGTTACTTTTTCCAAAATGGAAATGGATGGTCTCTTCTCCACTGTCCTAATAAGATGAGTGCTGGTATCTTATACTAACTGAAATGGGACTTGTTCAGTTATCTAAGCTTTGTGTATAATTGTGCACATATTCTAAGATGACTAGCCACTATTTTATCAAGAACCATTGGTGAAAAGCATTAGGTTTTAGGGCTTCTTTCTTTATGGATTATATTCCTCGACCCTGGAGAGATCTAGAGTTTTTTGCTCAAGAGAGTTGCATGGTGTTGGGACATGGTGCTCACATTAAAAATTGGAAAGAAAGCCAGGTATAACAGTTTTGTCTCCTGAGATACACGCAGTAAAAAATTTGTTTTAAATGTCTTGTTTTAGGGATGATTTTGTGTATCATGTTCTTGTCAAAACAAGTAACTTTTTGCAAGCTGTGTAAGGCTTGTGCCAATGTTGCCTACATCTGTTTTAATGACAGCATTGTTTATTATCTAGAAAGAAACATACAATTTATATGTCTGCTGGTTGCTGGAGTCTCTTCAGATTTCTTGTCCACTAGCCTCTAACCTATGGTTAGCTATTTTGTTGTTGTTGTGAGTTTTGTGCACCTTTGAAAATAAATTCCTCAAAGTTACTGACTTACCTTTGTTTTTTAATGTAGTAATTTTTGTTTTATCAGCAGCCCACAACCGTTGTTTCCCTGGAGATATTTTTTATCTCATTTTCGCTTAGACAGAATTTTGGCATATTGAGATCAAATAAGCATGTTGGTACATTTATGCCCAACTGTGAATGATTAGTTCACCATGCTAATAGGAATTGCTAAATAACAGGAAATGGCCATGTTTTAATTAGTGTTTTGTCTCAATTTGAATTTCTAGATTATTGATCTCTTGACAAGCTAAAATTTTAAATGAAGATTTATTGTTATCTTAAGATTCTTGCTTGTTGAAAGAATTTTAAACCAGGGATTTTGGATCCAAGGAAAGAGTAGACTAACTACTAATATGGTTTCCTGGTTTGTTTATCTCCAACCCTGGTAGGCAGATCCAAACAAAGAGCTGGATCAGAATTCTAGTTAACTAGCTCGTAATTCTAATTTCTTTATGAATGACAGTGGTGGGTTGCTCCTGGTTCGGTCCGGTTCTGTAGAACCGGTAGAACAGCGAGCACGAGCATGCGCTCCCGCTGCAAACTGGTAGTAAAGGTAAGTGGAACCCACCCCTGATGAATGGGATACTATTTCATAAAAAAATAGTTTGTAAAGTCTAATTTATTTATTTTTTTTAAGATGATACCTTGTGGCAGAGAATTTCCTCTGGATTTTCACATTAAGAAAAGACAAATGTAGAAAATTCTTATTTTTGAGCCAAATGATAGTCTTGTGCCTGAGAAGAAAGCTCATCTACCCTTCTGGATAGCAGAAGTTGAAATTTGAAAGAGAAGAATTGCTTGGTGTGTTGTGACTGGGTTCACCTCAGTTTTGCACAGCTTCCATGGTGTGCTGTAAGCTGACAAATACGAAACATCTTTAATAAGCTGAATTTCTTTATTTAGATATTGCAAATTTTAGAATCATATTTGACACCTGAATAAATAAATTACATGCTTTGTAATGTCTGAAAAAACAGGTATGGAAACTTCACCCGTTGACAGAACTTTTAGATCTTTCTTTCTTTATTATAAGTTCCTTTTAGATGTAAGTGAAAAATGGAAGTGCTTTCCAGAATATCCAACGCTTCTCTTTATTTTTTACACTTTAATTCCTGTTTTGGTGAGTTCTATATTATATCTGTCTCATGACTGCAGCACATTTTCCCTTTCCAGTTTCTCAGTGCTACATTTAAGAAATGGAGCAGTTTATGCAAAAAGCTAGTTTCCTTGCCAGTGAAATAAAATAGTAGTTTGGGCATTTATTAGAATTGGAAGGATCTCACCTATCATTTCTTAATATAGTTTTCTTACGGCTGCAGCAAAATCTCTGAAAATGACTGCAGTGTGTTCCCAAAGCATTATTTTTATCACATGCTGTTGTAGTAGAATACAACCCCTAGGGGTTGCTCCTGAGTTACCCACAGGTGCCTCAGTAAGCACTTTCTTCTTCCAATTCAGAAAGTCTTAATAATATACTGTAAGTGAAGTGGGGGGGAAGGGGGGGGGACATCTTTGGCATAAAAGCTCTTTGAACCTTTGACACACAAAAAAAACCCCAGTGCAGGGTAATTGGGGGAAGGGGACATCTAGGGTACAATCTTGTGTCTGCTACTGAACCTCTTGGGAATCACATTTGAATAATTACGTAGAGAATAATGTTGTAGGGGGAGCAGAAGACAGAAACAGTAGTAACATCTAACATATGCCTTATTGGATATTTCTGTCCCAAGGCCCAATTTCAAGCATTTGATGCAGCAGCCATCCTGGCTCTAAAACAGGTCTGAATCTCAGAAGCCCCTGGTGGCCCATTGCCTAAGAATGCTAGGTCTACTACTGTGAGTTCCCTGATAGCAGAAAGGTAGAGTTTATATGTGAGAGCTATAAATAAAAGCGCCTTTTTTAAAAATGAGCTTGAAAGCAAGAGCTTTTTAACTTTTATAGTTCCAATGGAAAGCTTGCAAGAAAGCACCAAAATAGGCAGGGTACCAAAACATGAAAGCAATGAATGGGCAGCCATATTGAAGTTCAGCTGCTATCCTGCAAGAGTATTTAGAAATCTCACCCAATGAGTATTTAAATATTATTTAAATTTGAAAGGGTATGAACGGGTCTGTGTAAATAGGCCAGCATTTCTCTTAATTGATTCAGCAGCTTAAGCCAGGGTGTCACATTATAATCAAGGATAGGTGACATCTATTATAAGAAAGATCTGTCCAGTACCATTACATTGGATCAGTCTAAGATCATTACAACCCAGTTTTTTTTAATCGGCTTTTTTAAACAGTCATTATATTGGTGGCCAGTATACAAAGAACAATACAGGTGGTCCTCGACTTGT